ATATGAAAAAAGATCATATTATAACACTCTGATTTATGAACATAAAAAGATTACTTTTTAATTATCAAATAAGGCATTTTAGTTGGGAAATGCCTTAAATAATTTATGCAAGAATTAATTGGGGCAAAGTGGAAAGAATTTGACCATATTAATTGATTTATTAAAGGCTTTTTTAAGGATAATGCCCCAAATAATGCTGTTTAATTTTTTTAAAGATTATTTAAGATATTTTTGGTCAGAAAACGTCTTAAATAATCTTTTAAATAAATTAACCAGCATTATTTAAGGTATTTTCTCATCAAAAACACCTTAAATGATCATCTTTTTAATTTTTTACGTGGATTATTTAAGGTATTTTTTACCAAAAAAGGTCTTAAATAATTATAAAAAAATTAAATAGTATTATTTAAAACATTTTTGTCAGAAAACGTCTTAAATAATCCTAAAAATAATTTTTTTTTAGGATTATTTAAGGTGTTTTTACCAGAAAAAACCTTAAATAGTGCTGATCAATTTATCTAAGAGATTATTTAAGGTGTTTTCTAGCAAAAAAGACATTAAATAATTTAAAAAATTGAACATGATTATTTAAGGCATTTTTGGTCAGAAAATGCCTTAAATATCCAAAAAAAAATCCTAAATTTTTTTTTAGATTATTTAAGGCATTTTGACTAGAAAACACCTTAAATAATGCTAGTCAATTTATTTAGGAGATTATTTAAGGCGTTTTCTGGCCAAAAATACCTTAAATAATCTTTAAAAAATTAAACAGCATTATTTAAGGCATTTTTGGTCAGAAAATACCTTAAATATCCCAAAAAAAATCCTAATTTTTTTTTTAGATTATTTAAGGCATTTTGATTAGAAAACACCTTAAATAATGCTAGTCAATTTATTTAGGAGATTATTTAAGGCGTTTTCTAACCAAAAATATCTTAAATAATTTTAAAAAAATTAAACAGCATTATTTAAGGCTTTTTTTGTTAGAAAATATCTTAAATAATCCCAACAAATATTTTTAAGATTATTTAAGACAGTTTTAAGTAGAAGACGCCTTAAATAATCTTCTTTTAATTTTTTACAGGGATTATTTAGGATATTTTCTAGATAAAAATGTCCTAAATAATCTTTAAAAAAATTGAATAGCATTATTTAAGGTTTTTTGGTCAGAAAACGCCTTAAATAATGCTAGTTAATTTATTTAGAAGATTATTTAAGGTGTTTTCTGGCCAAAAACACCTTAAATAATCCAAAAAAAAATTGAACAAAATTATTTAAGACATTTTTGGTTAGAAAATGCCTTAAAAAAGCCTCAAAAATTTTGTTTTGGGATAATTTAAGGCATTTTTGACAAACCGAAAAATGCCTTAAATAATGCTAGTCAATTTATTTAAGAGATTATTTAAGGCATTTTCTAACAAAAAATACCTTAAATAATCTAAAAAAAATTGAACAAAATTATTTAAAGTGTTTTTAACCAGAAACACCTTAAATAATGCTGGTCGATTTATTTAGGAGATTATTTAAGGTATTTTTTATGCTAAAACGCCATTAATTGCAATAATAAAAAAAAAGTTTTAACAATAAAAATCTATAACTGATTTACAGTCACTTTCAAACATACTTTTCAAAATAGTAACAGCTATTTTATAATTTTTTATTCAAGTTAAATTTAAAAATAACGTAATTTTGCCCCTCGAAATCCTAGAATACCATAAGGAAATGTGGGTTTTTGATTCCGAGACTTTGAGTATTGTTGGAAATTTGTCACTTTCCCTCGAAATTAGATTACTTTGAACCAAACGTTAGAATCAAATATCAACAGTAAGATTATAAGAGAAAATGCATGAATTCCCCCAAACCAAACACCCCATATATGTTTATGCGCATAGTTTACAAATCACACTTGACGATAGGAATGGTTTTTTAAATACATAGGAAATCGATACCTTTTTTTTTTTCCTTTCCCATACTAAAAGACAAACATATTTTAGGCAAAAAAATGTAAATAACAAGAAAGGCCTAAAAGATTTTTATGAACAAGTCAATAATATGTTGTTTTAATCCTTAAATTAAGATGAAAATAGTGAGAATTATCTTCTTATTAAGTGACACCTAATATATAGTATATTACTAAGACTCGAACTACGAATCAATTAATATCAAGGTAAATTACCTTATCAAGTATATATAGGTTAATAAGTTGTTGGGTATAGAGTTTCTTAATCACAAAAAAAAAAAAAAAGAGAACGAAAAAAAGAATTCTTGGAGCATTATGCTTTAGCTCACTAATTAAATATCTTATCCATATCGTTTTGGGGGATGAGTAATTTGGAGAGGTTCAAAGGTTAGATCTTAGATTTTGAATATGTTTAATTCTTTTAGAGAATAAATAAATAATTGAGTTTGTTTACTATATATAGTTGATGAAGTTTTTAAATTTATCAAGCATGATTAAGCGATGAATTCATGTGTCTTTTGTTTGTTATATTAATTTAAAAAGGTATGTGTAAAGTCATATTTGGTACAAAAGATTATGATAAGATATGATAATATAATATTATAAATAGAATTAGATTAAATAAGATTATCATATCTTATATTTGATGTGTGTGAATTAAGATAGAATAATTTATTTATTGATCAAAATTATTTTTTCTCAAAATTTATATAATTTAAATTATTGATATAATTTTTAAAGGTATAATAGAATATGTAAATTTAATCGTATGGATTAAAAATAATTCTTTTTACTTTGACATAATTGAATCATCATATACCATTCTTATAAATAAAATATAGTATAGAATAATTATTATACTATTTTATCTATTATCTTATGCACCAAATACAACATTAATTGCTAATCTTATTTTTGAAATTTAAAAACTTTACTTAATTAGGGTGGAAGAGATAATTTTCTTAACCAAAAAGAGAAATTATTGAAATATCTTTGTGTTAGAACTAGGGATAATTGAGGTGAAATTTTTAAATATTTTTATATTTATATAGAATTTTATTTTAAATAATTTAAAACTTATAATTTCATCCCAATAAAATTAAATATAAATTTTTATATTGATATTATATATATATTTTTAAGTTAAAAAAGTTAAAGTTACATAATTCTCACTGATTAATAGGTAATTGACCAATAACAATATTTAACTATATTACATTTTGTTTAGTTTTAGGTTTTTATTCAATTACATTTAAAATTAATTTGTTCTCTTAAGTAGTTTAAGTTAACCTATTTTAACTTTAGATAAACCACCATAAGAAAAAAAAAAAACCTTGATTCTCCAATTGTAGATAAGAGATCTACTAAACTTTTCAAGAACACTCTTAAATTTTAATCAGTTAATCTTCAATTTCACTTTAAAATTTCAATTGTGTTTATAATAGTTTATTCTTTTATGGGTATTTTTCTTATAACAATTTCAATTATTTGTTATTACATCAATTATGTATACCTTACCGTTGAAAACATGGGTTTTAATTAACTTAAACTTGTGTAGAACTAATCATAAAACTGAAATCTTGTGTAAAATTAAACATCTCGATTATGAAATTATGATGAAAATTGGTGGTGCCTAATTCAAATAAATAAAAAGTTTATGTTCTTTTTTTTTTTTTTTTAATTCATGCTTATTGTATTAGCTTACTTGTCTACTTGATATAATTTATATGAGTTTATTATGCATTTAAAAAAAATTAATTTTTAATATTATATAAGACTTCCGCCCCGCGAGCTAAAAATCCTACTTCCATCCTTATTGAGTATTATTATTTTACTTTCTCCACCACTTCCTCACTCTAAATTTTTTCTAACAAAAAGAAAGCACACTAATTAAGGTTTGTGTTTCATTAGTATATTTATTTTTTACAATAAAAGGTGAAAAACAAAAAATAAAAGATGAACTAAAAACATAAAATAAATAACAAAAAAAAAAAAAAAACCAACCAACAAGTGCTTAGAAAAAATTGACCAAATTAGTTGATTATGTGGGAAAATTTGATCTTTACTCTGATCATGTACCTTTTGATCGTAGAAATTTCATTTGCTAATCTTCTTCTTTTTACACCTTTTTTGAAATCTTAAATAAAGTTTTATGAATTATGACACAATTGTGGCAACGTTTGACCAAATCTCTTGCTTTGAAGCATATATATCTAATTCACCGCATTAAGAAAAAAACTATAATTTACAACGTATCCAATCTACAATGCTAATATAATATAAAAGGCAAATACTTTAAAAAAAATAAAAAAGCAACTCTTCGGAAAGCAAGAAACAACCGTATGTTTGAAATTTTGACAAAAAAAAAAAAAAAAAGACACGCGCGTTAACGCGGAAAATTAAATACTAGCAGTATCCGTTCCGCTGCAATCAGGTGCCCTGCCCTCGCTGCTCCCTATCAACTATCATAGCCAATTTCAGGGGTAATTACGCCATTTCATTCAAACAATCCAGACAGTTTGCGCGCCAATGTTTCTCTCTCCCTTGTCATAATTAAAGATAACAAAAACAAAAAGCTACTATATTAATTGAGAAATAATTAAAATTAATAATTTTAAATACAATATAATTATACGAAAATTATAAAAAAATACATATGAGTTTTATAGAAGTAAAAATATATTTTATATTTGATATAATGACACAATTTTTATATTTTATATTTATTAAAAATGAAATAAATAATTACAAATATATAAATTATTAGATTTACAAATAATATAATAATAAAAGTAAATTATTATATAATAATTTGTCTATGATTACCCCATTATCTTCGCTTCCTTGTCTGCACGATCCTCGTTAAAAAACAATATAAAAATTAAAAAAAATTATATCTTAATCCAACGTTTTATTTGAACATTAAAAAAAATTAAATTTGTATAAATTGTAAATGATTTTCTTAAATATTAAGTTTTAAAGCAATAACAATAAAAAATAAAAAATAAAAACCTAACGACCTCACACGCTCTCACTCACTCGCTAGTCTGCTCTAGTCTATTCTCTTCCTTCAATAGTAATAAGCGACGCACACTTTACTTTCTACATCTCTTTCTTTTCCTTTGTTTTTTTTTTTCTCAGCATTTTCTTTCATTTTCTTTCTCGCTTTGAATCAAAGATCCAACTGAACTGATCGTATATCTGCAAATGTTTGAATAAATATGCTCTCTCTTTCTCTCTGATCAATCATTTTACCTTCTGCTTTCACATTCACTTTTCTGTTTTTTTTTTTTTTTTTTTTGCTTTGATAAAATCGTCTTACCAAAGCTTCCTTGATTCCCTTCTTTAATGCTTGCGTAAGTGTAAATTTTCCTTTTTTTTAGTGATATTGCCACGATAAATGCTTATGAAGATTCTGATCTTTCTTTTCCCTTTTTTTAGTTTATTTTTGTAATTATTCTTTGCTTGGATCGTAGACAAAACGACGTTGACAACTGATTGACGTGAATGTAAATAAGAAAAGCAAGCTTCCGGCGGGATTGGATCGGGTTTTTTATTGTCTCTTGGGTAATTTTTCGTTTTTTTGTTTTTCTATATTTTTACTAATTTAAGTAATGTTTTCCCCTTATTTCTAAAAAAGAAAATCATAAAAGGTCTGAAACGAGCTTAATAAATTTCAACTCTATCTGATCTCAGTGAAGTTGTTTATTTTTAGCAAGAAGGATCTAAATCCAAGTTACTTTATTTATTTTCTCTCTGTAAATGTCAATATCATTTTTAGTTAAGTCTCTTTTCTCACTTACAAAATCGGATATTTTTTCCTTTTTAAAAACAAAAGAAATAATTGCTGTAAAAATTAACTTCAAAAGAAAAACAAAAAAAAAAAAAGAAAAACTTTAGAATTTTGTTTAAGTACTAATAATTTTAAAGTGAAGCAGATTTTGAAAGGGAGAAAAATGAAGGTGATGGCGGTGGAGTGTGCTGTCCTGGTAATGCTTTTGGGGCTTGTGGTGACTGGGAGAGCGGAGATTTACATAGTGACAATAGAAGGAGAGCCTATTATTAGCTATAAAGGTGGTGAAAATGGGTTTGAAGCTACGGCTGTGGAGTCAGATGAGAAGCTTGACACTACAAGGTAAATTTTTGTTGGTATATATATATTTCTCTTTGTTTTCAATTTTGGTCGGTTTCTTTCTTTTCTTTCTTTTAATTTCTTTTGTCTGATTGTGGCTGTTCCGTTGTTGGCTTATTTGGTATCCTGTTGTGCAATGGGCGTCTTTGAATGATATATGCACAAGGGCCTAAAAAATTTACTATGAATTTGACGTGACTTTGATAATACTCAATATAGATTAGTAGTTGAACACCCTTCAAAAGCAAACGTAGATAGCTTCTTGCTCATATCTTAATTCTTTTTTTGGACATAATAGTAGTTTCTTAATATGGGTCTTTACTCTTTTTTACCCACTCTTTTATATTCTGCATCAATGAAGATTTTCTTTTAAAAGAAAAATGAAACTGTAAATCAAATTTGCTTGTTGGGAAATTTGGATCTTTCACGGTTTCACCTCGGTGTGGCTTATCTATATTTTTGGACTCTGTTGAGCTCCTAATATTTTCAATATTTTTGATGTAAAATTTTGTGGTAACATAATGCAGTTTTTCTGTTGAAATAATAATTATTATTATGAGAGTGAATGCAACTACTATTGTGGAAACCTGCTGCAGAATCAAAACAGAAATTAATGCATTTGAGTTATATTAATTATTAAAGAAGGGGAAGTTAGAAAAGAAGTGAAGTAAATGTTTTTATGTTTTTTTTTTCCTTTTAAAAGGAGAGAAGAGAAGAAAATGTTAAGTTGAAGCTGTGTTATATTTTCCTGCACAAGTTGAGGGAGAGTTGCCGTGAGGCCCTAGAAATAAACCATTGATCCGATGTTCAACTCCAATTTCATTTTTTTGCATGCTGCCTGAGATTATTGGATGATCTTAAGGGAAAAGACCTTTTTAATGAGTTTAGTTGAACCGTTTATTTTCGAAATTGAGGCTTTAGTTTATAGATATTAGAGCTAATATTTAGCCTACTTAGCTAGGCGAACAATGAAATTTCTTATCTATTTGTTGTGCTTCTTGCATTGGTAATAAGCTGGTTCTTTTTAACTGTTCCAAAATCTATTGGTTCATTACGTACTGCATTGACATGGATTATCTTTCCTTCCCTCTCTCTTCTCACACTCAAATAGACTGACGCACACAATAAGTCTCTTATAGTTGATTGAAAAAACTGAAGTTGGCTTGATTATTATCCCTTTCGTTTTCTTTGTTGCTTGTTTCAGTGAATCGGTAACATCCTATGCTAGTCATCTCGAAAAGAAACACGATATGCTTCTTGATATGCTGTTTGATCGTGGGAGTTACAAGAAACTCTACAGTTATAAACACCTGATAAATGGCTTTTCAGTTCACCTTTCCCCTGAACAGGTGAAACTTTCAAATGCTACACATTGTGGTTTTCTCTTTAAAATAAATTTTTTAGCTGAATGAATACTTATAATTTTTCTAAAACCAATCTCTTTCATTATCATTCCTTACACTATGCCAATATATTAGTAGGCAGAAACCTTGAGACGTGCTCCTGGTGTAAAATCTGTGGAGAGAGATTGGAAGGTGAGGAGACTTACAACACATACCCCACAATTTCTGGGGCTCCCAACTGGTGTATGGCCAACGGGAGGTGGCTTTGACAGGGCAGGAGAGGACATTGTAATAGGATTTGTAGACTCGGGAATTTATCCACATCATCCAAGCTTTTCAGCCTATCACACTGACCCATATGGGCCTGTTCCAAAGTACAGAGGAAAATGCGAAATTGATCCTGACACCAAGAGTGACTTCTGTAATGGGAAGGTCATTGGAGCCCAACATTTTGCTGAAGCTGCAAAAGCAGCTGGTGCCTTTAATCCTGCTATTGATTTTGCATCTCCCATGGATGGTGATGGACATGGAAGGTTAGTTGCCACAGTATTCTTGAGTTACAATTTAAATGGGAAACCCTATGCTACCTTATCTTAAACAACTATACCATTGAGAGAGGTTTAGTTTATATCATTGCTACATTAAGTGAAGGAAGGTCTTAAGGACCTAAATGAGCTAATGCTAATCTTAAACCAAAAAGTGCAGATATGAGAATCAAGAACTTAGACTGTGATTGTTTGGCTGAAAAAATACTGATTATGGGATGTAAGAATTAAATATTCTACATGTTTTTATAAGTGCTAATATGCATGTATTAACTTAAACCACAATTATCCGAGGTCAAATGTCAATTAAAAAAAAAGATGTAAAGCAAATTACTTATTTAAGCCTTATAATCACATTTACAGCATATAGTGCCTACCCAGCTTTTGGAACAGTTTCTTGTTACAAAAAGCTAAGCTAGGTTTGTTAAGCATCCAACTTAAAACCAATTGGCTGTAAGTGGAGGGGCCCAACTTGAATATATGACTATAGGATGTGGGATAATACCACTTTAACAAGGTCAACAAGGTTTTTGGTGACTGATTTTGGCTTATGTAAAAGCTGAAAACTAGAGTTTTGAGAAAAGTTGCAACAAGAAACTGATAGATGGATTTTATGAAATTTTTAAACAGACTAAATATTTTTATTTACTTTTAATATTGTTCCTTCAATAGCTGCACTTTTTCTTGCAGCTTGGCCGGGTAAAGGCTAAAGTACATGTAAAATTGAAACTCCTGTAACTAATCGAACTGCAAATAGAAAATTTACATCATTAAATGTTTGATGTCAATCTATGTGTAAGTAGAAGATATTATGGCTACTCACTTGCAGATAAACACTAGACAATTCAAAAATATGGCAGTAAATGGTAAAGTTGCATCTTTTGTTTTCTTTTGTGATACCTTTAGTTAATTCTCTGGCATGAGTCTGCCAATATCATTTAATGCAAAGGTACTAATGTTCTGCTTCATATTTGCTTCATATTTATCAACTGTAGCACTTTTTACTCAAAGTCCACTGTTCTTTAAAAGACCCTTTTTTTTTTTCTGGGCAATAGTTAACACAAGATGTGAGCTCAAAATAAGTAATCATTCTTGCACATGATATTCCTACATTGTGAACTGAGGTTGCAGCTCTGCTTCTAGCACATAGGCATCCCGATCTCTTGTTGATTCCTCCAATGGAAATATAATTCCGGATAGGCCTTTGTGTTTGTAATTCTGATTCTGATTTGTAGAAAAATAGTTTTAGCATGAACTTAACAGCAGCCTACATAAAATGAATAAAGTATATGATGACTGGTCTTCATAAGATTATGGTGGGAATTGTACCAGATGTTCCATTTTGTGATTTTCCTTTCCTTTTTTTTTTTTTTGTTTTTTCTGTTTTGAAATGTTTGTTAAGTGAACTTTCTAACATATTTGAATCATAGAAAAATTGGAAGGTGCTACTGCTAGAGGTCTTGAAAGAATTGGGAATCTTGTTCTCTTCATGGAGAATTGGTAAAATAATGCTCATTTTAAAATTACTTTAGTGTTGTCTGAAGAATGTTTCAATCAAATTGTTTATTTCCAAAAAGGGCATTCTGATATTCACATATTAAATGTCTGGATTTATAGTACAAAGCAAAATTGACCAAGTTAGAAAAAAATTTTCGTTTCAATGGTAAGTAATAAAAACAAATATATGGATAGTTATATATTTAAGACAGGCCTTGGAAAGAGGGTGATATATCAGATTAAACTGTAAATAAATATTTTCAGTGAGTATAAAAGGGAGCAAAAGGTGAACGACACTAGAGAAACCTTTGCTTTCCTTGCTGCATTTCTGGGGGAAAGCTAAGCAGCATAAAACTTTTCCTCACATAGCTTCTATTCTTTTCTCGCTGAGGCAAAAATTAGCATTTGATAGAAAGACTTCTATATAAATTTACTGGAGTTAAGTGAAAAAAATTTGTATCTTTCTTTTAACCGGTTCCTCTTCTTTGTTAAATCACTGGATGCCAGTCACATCGCAGCTATTGCAGCTGGGAATAATGGTATTCCCGTGAGGGTGTATGGCCATGAATTTGGAAGAGCAAGTGGAATGGCTCCTCGTGCCAGGTGCAGATTACTCGGATCTTCCTAGGTTATTGTGCAATTAAAATATTTTTTTTAATATGAGAATTTTTTTTTTTTTTTTGGTTTCAGGATTGCTGTCTACAAGGCACTATACAGGCTTTTTGGAGGGTTTGTAGCAGATGTGGTAGCTGCAATTGATCAGGTATGCTACAATTTACTTAGGAAATCACATGGTGCCATCATAGTTATTTCTCTCATTGCTATTTATGTTAATTCAAGGCTACTGCTAAGATACAAGCCTTCTATCTGTTTTGCGCTTGGGATAACTCCATCTGAGATATAAATTAAACATTATCTATAGGTATTTTCCTTATACATCTATCATTTGGGACTCTAGGTAACCAGATAAGGATTTTCCTTTTGGATATTGTCTTATATGTGTCTCTTGTTCCTAAGGATTGAGCCACAAATTTTGGCTGGGAGATGTTTTTGTGGAACACTTCTTCAATGATTTATCTTTGAATTAGAGATCTTGATGACTAACATCCTCCTTTGTAAACACAATGTGAAGCTGTCTCTTTTTAGTTATCTTATGTTGAGATCTGAACATGCAAAAAAAAGGAAAGAGAAAAAAGAATCTTTGAGCTTGTTTATGATAGGCTTGAAAAGGAAAAACAAAAAGTCGTACTTTTGCTATCTGTGTGATTCTGAAAGATGCCAATTTACCAATCAGCTATACATCGTTTTACGTTATTTTTGTTGAAAACTTGTGATTTGACAACTTTTATGAACAGGCTGTTCATGATGGTGTGGATATCCTCAGCCTCTCAGTGGGACCAAATAGTCCTCCAGCAACTACGAAGACCACATTTTTGAATCCTTTTGATGCTACACTTCTTGCAGCTGTCAAAGCTGGTGTTTTTGTTGCACAGGCTGCTGGAAATGGAGGTCCTTTCCCTAAAACTTTGGTGTCTTATAGCCCATGGATAGCATCTGTTGCAGCTGCAATTGATGATCGTAGATACAAAAACCATCTGACCATGGGAAATGGAAAAATTTTAGCTGGAACTGGATTGTCCCGTAAGTTGCTTCAACTTTGACTATTTATTTGTGGCAAATTTGTGCATATGATTGGCCATTAATAGCAAAACATTTTTGCTTTACTCCTCACTTTGGTTACTACTGGGCTTATTTAAAAAATTAATCACCTTTTAAGATTGTTGATTTTATGTTGGTCTAGTGTTGTGCAATAAAATTTCCTAGGGCACAAGGTTTAGTTCAAAATTCAGATTAAAGAATCAGAATTCACAATTTTTACAAATTTCCTTAGATTATTGAACTCAAGTTTGAGCTTAAGCTTGACTCGAGTTTTCATCTCTTTACTTGAATTGATGTAATTGAGCTCAAGTAGCTCAGTTACATTTTTCTAGCCAAGTTCGAGTACAGAAATAAGCTCAACAGAGCTAGGGTTCAAGCTTCGGGTTTGGTAATCGAGTCAAGCTCAAGTTTTGAGTTTTGTCAAGGCTAGCATTGTATCAAGTTGCCTCAGTTGCACCTCTATTTGTTTTGTTCTCATTTATTATCATGATGGTAATAAAATGTTGACTAGAATTTTTAAAATTGGTCTTTTTTGAGCATTTGATATGGCAATCTTTATTTATATTTGTATTTATGTTTTCTAACTTCATAATATATTTATCTTTAATTAATATCATAAAGGCTAAATACATTGATAAGGGTCTAAACTTCCTTCCAATATATGATTCTGTCTTCAATTTTGAGCAATTAAGGGTCCATTTGGATGGATGGTAAGATTAGCTTTGGTGAGATTGAAAGTAGCAATCGAGGTGAGATTGGGTGCTATAGGAGTGAGATAGGATATTATAGTAGTAAGATTAAAATTAGTGGTGGGATATATGTTTGGATGCAAAAGTAGCAATGGCATTAAGATGAATTGTAGTAAGAAAAAATGACCATTAAGGATATTAGATTGACAATTCTATATAATAAAAAATTTAAATTATTTAATATTTATGAAATTAATAAATAATTAAAAATTTATTAAATTATTTTCATATCAATAATAATTTTCTTAATAAAAAAATTTTAATCTTATAAAAAAAATCATTTGAAAACTTTTAAGTTAAAAAAATTTTAAAATAAAATAAAACGAAAAAAAAGACAACAAAATTAAAAAAAAAGATGGGTAAGATAGAAAAAGTAGACTTAAAAAATTGCCTTACCTTTTACTATAAAAAGGAAAATAGAAAGAGGATAATTATGGAAAAGGAGCTGTGATTGCCTTCACTGGACCCATGAAGGTTTGGTATCTAACTGGAGGTGCAGCACGATCAAAGTGTTTTCATCGCGCTGTCTTTTGCTATCCAAACATGTTTACTGTGAGATTAACCCCTCTAATCTCACTCCACTGAAGGAACTTTTAAATCCAAATGAGCACTAAGTACCTTATTTTAACAATTGGACTTAATAATGGAATGTGCTGTTAGTCTCACTAGCTGTGTGGTTGCTCACTTGCCAATTTCTTGGCCTTTAATTTCTATGGATAAATCTCTCTGTTTTTAAAGATAAAGTTTGTAGCTTATGCATTTTTGCAGCTTCTACTCATTCAAACCAAACCTACACCATGGTTGCTGCTAATGATGTGCTACTGGATTCATCAGTAATGAAGTATAGCCCCTCAGACTGCCAAAGGCCAGAAGTGTTGAACAAGAACTTGGTTGAGGGGAACATTCTTCTTTGTGGCTATTCCTTCAACTTTGTTGTTGGTACTGCATCAATTAAGAAAGTCTCTGAAACAGCCAAGGCTCTTGGTGCAGCTGGTTTTGTTCTTGCAGTGGAAAGTGTTTCTCCTGGAACAAAGTTTGATCCTGTTCCTGTTGGTATACCTGGAATCCTTATCACTGATGTCTCCAAGTCAATGGTAACCATCCTTGCTCTTCTTATCTATTTAATAATACAGTTAGTTTTCCATCATCTCACTAGGCCAGAATCTGCAACCTGCTCTCGTTGCTTGATCGAATATTATTCGACTTTTCTAACATGATAATGCTAAATTTTATGATTTGGCTCTTGGAAATCACATTTTAAGGATCTTATCAACTACTATAATGTTTCTACACCAAGAGATTGGACCGGACGAGTGAAGAGCTTCAAAGCTATTGGTAGCATTGGGGATGGTTTGATGCCAATTCTCCATAAATCTGCACCACAGGTTGCACTATTTTCTGCTCGAGGGCCTAACATAAAAGATTTCAGCTTTCAAGATGCAGATCTTCTTAAGCCTGACATTTTGGCACCTGGTTCTCTAATTTGGGCTGCTTGGTCACCAAATGGAACGGATGAGCCTAATTATGTTGGTAAAGATGTGCTCAGTTTTTATACTTGTTTCTTTTCCTTGTCTTCTCAGCCATCACTTTTAGAAACTTCTGGCACATGTTAGGAGGAAGAGAAGTGACATTGTGCTTCTAGTAATGAAAATTTTATTGATCTCAATCAATAATTTGCTTTGAGCAGGAGAAGAGTTTGCTATGATTTCTGGAACCAGTATGGCTGCACCGCATATAGCAGGGATAGCTGCTCTTTTGAAGCAGAAACACCCTCATTGGAGTCCTGCTGCTATAAAATCAGCCTTGATGACAACATCAACAAAGCTAGACAGAGCAGGAAGGCCTCTTCAAGCGCAACAGTATTCTGAAACAGAGGCCATGAAGCTTGTTACAGCCACTCCTTTTGATTATGGGAGTGGTCATGTTAATCCAAGAGCTGCTTTGGATCCCGGACTCATCTTTGATGCGGGTATTCTTTCTTTTGCTTTGTAATTTTATCATGTATTGTTTAGTTGGTTATTCTATATAGATCCCATCAACTTTGCAACCTAATTACTTTACCTAGGCAAGAGGATGGAATAAATGGACTTTGACTATCTAGCCTGAGCAAGATGTTTTTTCCCCTTTTGAGCATTTGAGCTATAAGATATTTATTACAAGAATTGGTAAATACCCAAGGAAGTTATGATTCTGGTATACGTATCTAATGAAATTTCAAGGCTTAGTAAGCTGTGCTAATGGATGTCACTTAATCAATAGAAATTTCAAGAAAAGCACTGGCATAAATTCTCTCAAATTCTCTATAGAATGGCTACAACTTAGGAAATGACATAGGGCCATTACATAAACCAAAGCTGGACACTTGGGTCAAACACTGTGGTGGATAATATTCCAAAGGAACCTCACAAAAAACCATAGTCAGGGATTAGAAACGGTGAAGAAAACATATGGGAAAACTTGATTTAAGTACATTTGACCTGAGTGTTTTTCAGAAAAAGAAATTTGCATCACATTTTGCTAGCTAAAGAAGCTTTGCCTTGAAACCATGCCTTTGGTTATGCACTAATAAGCTCTAACATCTTACTAGGTGACAACTTCAGGTTGTTGAGACACTACCTATTGCTTAAGTATTACGACTGCTTTTCTTTCTAAACCCCCGCGTTACACTTTAGCTTTGTGAAACCTTTCAGTGTCTTTATTTGTTTCCCCTTACCTTTTGTAGGTTATGAGGGTTATTTGGGATTCTTGTGCACCACACCTGGTATTGATATTCATGAGATAAAAAAGTACACAAACTCGCCCTGCAATAACACCATGGGCCACCCATCAAATCTCAACACTCCATCAATAACAATCTCTCATCTGGTGGGAACTCAAACGGTTACTCGTATTGTTACAAATGTTGCTGGGGAAGAAACCTATGTCATCACGGCTAAAATGCAGCCATCCGTTGCCATCGAAACCAGCCCTTCAGCAATGACTCTGAAACCTGGTGCATCGAGGAAGTTCTCTGTTACTCTTACTACTCGATCAGTTACCAGAAGTTACAGCTTTGGAGAGATTATCATGAAAGGCAGCAGAGGGCACAAGGTAAGTATACCAGTGGTGGCAATGGGATACTGGCGATAGTTTGGGTTGGTAAGCAGAAGTAAGGTTGGTTTATGGTTGTATTATTCTTTGTAATTTGTTGTAATAATATGAGGTTAGATGCATTTGTCTGAAATATATGTATTGTGGAATAGCTGTAAAGTGTTATAACGTGGGGGAGACTCCTATTTAGCGTCTTTAGGTTTTGCTAATTCGATAAAATGCTTCATACTATTATTCTGTACTGTGTGTCCCGTAAGAAGTGTGCTTTTGTTGGATTGACCAGGGAAAATTCCCTTTGTATATCCTTTTCTTTCTTTGCAAAACTTAAAAGTATGTTTGACATAAATGTTATGTTGGTCACCTACATGCATGCAAGTAGAGGTATCCATGAGTTGGATAAGTTAAAGCATGGTTGACACTTTCCAAAATCTTGTCCAAACTAATAAATCCTAATGTCTGATATTACTTAAAACAATATTAAGATATTAAAACTATTTTTATAATAATATTTTAGAACCAGATTATTTTTTATTCAAATTAATATTTTTGAGTTTAATTGAGCTTGAATTTGAAAATTTTAATTCAAAGCTTGTCTTTAGTAGAGCTAATCCGATCATTAAGCTCACGTTTAACTCTACCCCAATATTATTATATTAATTTAAAATATTTTTATTTACTTTAATTCAAAAAATATTACAAATATGAATATTATTAAACATAAAAATATTAATAAAAAATCTGTTAGTGTTTTAATTTTAAATATCTCTTGTTTTTTGGTGCATTAAATATCTCTAATTTGAATATTATTAAACATAAATATTTTTAATATTTTAATGGTAAATAGTAATATATAACTCTTTAATAATAAAAATATTTTTATTTAATATTTTAATAATAAATATTGATATATAATTATTTAAAAAATTAATATGATAAATAGTAATTTTATTATTTTAATAATGAATATTATTTAGTATAATAATATTACTCATTTAAGAATAATTTTTAATAATTTTAATTTATTTTCAATCATTTTTTAAAAAAATTTTAGATATATAGTATCATTAATATGTAATGAGAAATATTTTTATATCACTATTTTAATAATAAATATAAATAGATAATACTTTTCTACAATTTAATAATAAATATTTCTATTTTAATAGTATAAGTATTTGAAACAATTTAATATTAAATATTAATATTTTTTAATATTAATTATATTAATAAAAATAATATTTAAATAATAATGACACTATTTTAGATATACTATTTTAAATATAAATATATGTAAAGTTTTAAAAATAAATAGAACTATTTTGAGTATTTAATATAAATATAATATTTTAATAATTGATTATCCGCAAACTGTTAATATTTTAATATAAAATATTTTTAATATTTCAATAATAAACAATTCAATATTTTAATAACAAGTTTTTAAATATTTTAATAATAAATATTTTCAATATTTTAATAATTATGTCAATAATATAAAAAGTTTTAAAAAATAATAAAAAATAATTTTTTTTTGTTAAGTCATATAAACAATAAAACATCTCTATTTAGAAAAATAAAAACTACATTTAAAAAAAAAGTATTTAAAAATAATAAAAATAAAAAATATTTTTATTAAGTCATCCAAATAATTAAACATTTATTTTAAAAAAAAGTCATTATTCCCAAAGCTGCACTAGATATCCTTTTTTAAGTCATTTTTTGGGCATAAAAGAATTGAAACTCAGTAATCGTGTCCTTAAAATTGGTCATATGATAATTTAGGAATAGTCGCTCTCTCAAGGGATGGAATTATAAAAATATGGTTGTAATAAAGTGGAGCCGGAGCCCCATGTAAGAGTTGAACATAAATTTTCACTTACTATATTTTAGATCACCATATTATAACACTTTGTTGGCATAGACATTAAAAGTTTGGTAAAAGTGTTTTAATCGATTAAATTAAATATTTAATTGGTTAAATAAATTAATTCGAAATTTATCAAAATTACGTAATAGATTAAGGTGAAAACACATGACTAGATTAATCAAAATTCAAAAATTTGTGCATCATTCACGACAATGACCGAGAACAAGTTAGTTTGTTTTCGAATAACTAGTGGCTTTTTTTATCACCTTTCCCAGAGAAGTCTCAACGCTGGAGAATGGAGGAAGATCTGAAAGCGGCATGGAGCAATCTCAGTTTAACAAAAGAGGAGAAGGATCGGGTTGAAATAGGAGTCGATTGTGACACAACAGATGCAGACGAAGAAGAAAAATGGCTAGTGGGTAAACTACAGACAGATCGGCTTTTCAATAGAGAAGCCATGATTGGAACATTTAAAATCATTTGGAGGATAGCCAAAGAATTGCAGGTCAGTACACTAGATTCAAATCTTTTCTTTTTTAAATTTGAATCTAAAAAAGAAAACTGAGGGTAATGGATGGATCTCCCTAGTTTTTGACAAAAGGCTCTTAATCCTTGTTGAGTTTAATGAAGATTTAAAGCCATCAGACTAGAATTTTACCAAAGCACAATTGTAGGTAAGAATATACGATCTCCCCATTATATGGATGAATCACAATGTGGGAGAAATAATAGGGAAAAGGATGGGGGAATACAAAGGATTTGACTCAGGTAGGAATCTAGCGATCTGGGGTAAGTGTATCAGAATCCAGGTGGAACTAGATATCAGGAAGCCATTGCTAATGTTTGTATTACTTGAAGCACAGGGTGGTGGCCAAGACATTAAAGGGAAACTTAAGTATGAAAGGCTGCCAATCTTCTGCTATGCATGTGGTATATTAGGACACTCAGCAGCAGAATGCGAGATAACAGATAACAAGGAAAACGGGGCAACAGCTGAACCTCCCTATGGTGCATAGTTGCAAGCATCACCTGTGAAGAGAGGATATAGCTCCTTCAGTACAACAACAAAATCTGACTTGGGAAGTTATCATAAAGATAGCGAACATCGGGATATGAGGAAGATGGACGATGGTAATTAAACTGAGCCAGGGAAGCAACCTAGTTCAAACAAGGGTGATCAAAATGGATTAAGCTCCCTACAAGGCAGGGTTGAAAGTGACACTTACCTAGGGGGAGAAAATCTGGAAGAAATCATACCATAGTTGGAGATGATCGAAGCTACTCGTTTAACAGAGGAGAAATACTGAATGAGTCATGAAGGAAAGATGTTAGAAGGGAAGTCTCAAGTTTGAACTTAGTTCTGAGGGAGTTGGAAATAGAGAACATGATCCACGAAAATGTACTGAAAATACTGAAGCAAGTAGCGGTTGGAGGGACAAAAGATTGGAAATTGATGGAAGCCAGGAGTGGGACCCCCAAATGGGCTGATAATCAAATAAAGCAAGTGGGAGGGAACCAAGGGACGACAGTGAAAAATGGGTATCCAGTTAAGGAGAAGGGAACCAAAATGACATGGAAACGCAAGGTCAAGGATGCAAACAAACAGGAAGCAGCAACACAAAAAATGTTGGGGAAGTGAGCTTTGAGAGAAGAATGAATACAGAGGGAATTACAAATATGGAATGTGAGACAAATGTTCAGAGTAAGAAGGGGTGACTTGAAGGAGACATGACCCAAACTAAAGTACCAATGGTAGAGACTGGATCCCAGTCCCGCCGAGAGCCATGAAGTGAAATGTATGAAAGTGTCGGGGGCTTGGGAACCCCTAAGCAGTTAGAGCTCTTCGACAATTGTTGAAGGAAAAAGAGCCCTATGTAGTTTTTCTCAGCGAAACAAAACTACATGAAAGTATGTTAGAGAGAATAAGAGAAGATGTGGATTCAATGTTTGCTTTGGTGTTAGCTCAACAGGAACAAGTGGGGGTTTGGCCATGCTGTGGAATGCAGAGATTGACTTCAATCTTAGAAGTTTTACAAAAAATCATATTGATATGGTGGTGGAGGGGAATGGCAAAATTGATATCTGGACAATCACTGGCTTCTATGATGAGCCTGACACAAAAAAGAGGGCAAACTCTTGGGAATTAATTCGAAATCTGGCCTCTCAATCTACAATAGCGTAGCTATGCGTAGGAGATTTCAACGAAATAATGTGGTCCCACGAGAAAACAGGATAGTGTCTTAGGAATGAAAAACAGATGGAGGACTTCAGGGAAGCAGTAGGAGAAGTTGGTTTAGAAAACCTGGGTTTCAATGGCACTTGGTTCACATGGGAGAGGGGAAACCAATTTGATAACAATGTGAGGGAAAGGCTAGATAAAGGAATGGCAAACAGGCGGTGGTGGTAAAGGTTCCCTATGTACACAGTTCAACATCTTACGTTGCCTGTATTGGACCATAGCCCAATCATGGTGAACACCGAAGGAAGGAGAAAAAGAAGATTCTTGTTTGAAGCTTTTTGGGCAAAAGAGATTGACTGTGAACAAGAGGTAGAGGATGCGTGCAAATGTGAGGATAGTTTACATGCAGGAACTGTCATGGGAAAAATAAAAGCCACGGGTAAGCAGCTTGAAAGATGGCATGGTCAACGATACAAGAGTTTCAATGACGAGGTAGTTACATTCACTAGAGAGCTTCAAGCTGTAAAGAAGGGAGTGACCGATGCAGAAAACTTAAATAAGGGAAGGCAGATTAGACAGGAGCTAAATTAGGCAATAGAACGGGAAGAAACTTTTTGGGCGCAGAGATCCAAGGTGGATTGGCTTAAAGAAGGGGATCGAAAAACAGGGTTTTTCCATGCCAAAGCAACCTAGAGGAAGGGAAAAAAATGTGATAAAGGGATTGGAGGATGAGGGGGGAGAATGGTGTGAATCTAACGAAGGAATTCAAAGAATAGCCAGTAGTTATTTTAAACAACTATTTAAATCCTCAGGACAGAGCCAAGCTGGTGAAATTCTTGAAGTAATAGGAAACCGAGTCTTTGACGAGATGAATGACTTCCTTCTAGCAAAGTTCAAAGCTGAGGAGACTCTCATAGAACTTTAACAAATGCACCCCACCAAAGCACTAGGACCTGATGGTATACCTGCCCTTTTCTTTAAAGAATTTGGGCGTGTTGTATGTAGTGATGTGATTGATTGCTGTTTACATGTCTTAAATGGAGTAGTGACATTAGAGATTGAAATGATGACATTAGAGATATTAACCACACCAATATCATCCTGATCTCGAAAACAAAGCAACCAAGGAAGGTGACCCAATTTAGGCCAATTTGCCTCTTTAATGTCATTTATAAAATTATTGTAAAAATCCTTGCAAATAGGCTTAAAATTGTCTGATCCCATTGTATCAGTGAAAACCAGAGTGTGTTTATTCCAGGACGGCTAATAACTGATAATATTTTGGTGGCATATGAATTACTCCATTCCATAAATAAGAGGTCAAGCTGAATTGGCTAATTTGCTCTAAAACCAGA